TTATTTTCTGTAGTACAACTACGGTAGCAGAAGATTCAAATAAAAAAAATTATGTAAATGTATGGGAAGCAGCAAGTAGTACGTTTCCAATCATGAAAATGATTGGTGGTTTGAATTGGAAAAAAAACAAAAAACGAAATACAGCTCCAGTTATTGAACAACTTTTGCCCATGGCTAATGAAGGCGTTGATGAAGTAGATGGTTATACTACTATTAGACCAGGTGTTCAAACAATACCGGTACGCGAACAACAGATCGGTCAGTCTTCTGAAGCAGTGTTAGATGCCATTTGTGATGAACTTGCGGATCTAGTATTTACAGACCCACCTCCTATTGTCACATATAATTCTCAGAACCACTCTAAGTCAGATAACTCTGTTACTTCACTGGATGGGTAATTATGTAATTTGTTTGTAGTTAGTGTTGTAATATGAATAATATTTTAATTTAAACTCATATTTTGTATACACTGGTAAAAAGGTTTATCTCAGTGGCAAACAAAATTGTATATAYTTTTTTATGTATAATTTTATTGTGTTGTTCTTTATATTTTAATTAAATAAATATTAATATTTAGGGAAAAGTATATGTTAATATATTTGGCATCTAAAGTATAATATTTTAGGAGAATTTTATCCAGAGGTAATTTTTCTAATGATATTTCAACTCTAATGGAGAATTTTTATTGTATCTAATGTATTTTATTTTTTAGTGAATATGTTACCAATTTAAACCAGTATGAACTGAAACATAAATATAATTTTTGCCTTTTACGCTTTAAATTTTTAATAAAAAAAATTGATGAATATCAATTGTTTATTGTTATTAAAAATACTAAGTTACTAATTTTTTATTTGATATGTAAAATAGCTAATTTAATCATATTTCAATATATTATGTTAAAAAAATAAAGATAAAATAGTTTAACATAGTGAGAACTAGGTTAAGATATTGTGTCCATTAAACGAGGAAAATTTAATAATGAAGAAGTTATAAGACTTTCATCCATGTAGGGTAACAGTCAAAGTGGTAGGCCAAAGATGAATGAAAATGGATGTTATTAATGTCTCCCTTAAGAGTGTTTGTGTAGAGTTTTTAGGAAATGGCAGTTTTCAGAGAAACATAATCTTAGTAGCTAACCCTGCTAACCCCAATTATGTTTTATGTAAAGGTGGTAAAAAAATTTGGAAGTTATGTTGTATTGAACTACTAACAGTTACATGATTGGTATTTAATTTTATAAAACAAATAATAATTACCACTTTGTATAAATATTTATATTATTTTAAGTTATAATTAAATTAAATTATAGTTTAACATAAATGTGTATTTATACAAAAATAAATATAGAGATGTAAATATGTGCATGCTTGCATGTATGTGTGAGCATTTATTTTTATTTGCAAAAATAAAAATCTCCTTATGACCAGACGTCAATGAATGCAAATAAGACTGAAGAACCACTCTGGGATATACTTAGCTAAGTACTATATTTAATATTATGTTCTCTATAGAATTTCTTTAATTTAAAAAATGTTTTCATTCGAGCTGATTTTTAATTTGTTATCTAACAAGGAAATAAAAATATTTAATATATGATAATAATTATAAATTCAATTGGTGTGTGTGTGTGTGTGTATGTGTATGTGTATTAAATTAATTAAAATTTTTTTTAATTTATTGATAAATAATAACGCTATTTATGGTTTTTTTGGTTGACCATTAAAAGATTTGTACCCTACATCACTATATTTAGAAAATGTGTTACATTGTATTATTCTGTCTTCTCAATGTTATTTAATAGCTGATTGTCTTTATTATAAATTTATGATGAATAAATATTTCATGTTTTGTGTCACAAAATAGATCAATTTTAAATATACTCCAAAAAGTAAAAAATAATTGTTTATAGACCATGAGAAAGATTATGATATTTGATTGTTGTTTAAAAAAAAAAAAATATGAGAAAGTTTGTTTTTCACATTTTTTTGAGCAATACTCTACAAAAATAAATTATATTTTGAATGAACTAATTATAGAGCAATGAAAAATAATTTTCTCAAAAAAAATTAAATGTAAATAATTTTTCACGACGTCTGTAATTATTATTATACATTCAGTACTGCCACTATTATAAGAAGACAAAATTGTCTACCCATCTAACTACTAAAATTAAGTTCATGTTTTATAATTTTTGTTCTTAAAATATAAACATTATATATTGTATAATATTATGATTCTATTAAAGTGTGTTTAGTCTTATAATTTAGGTGAAGATATTATTAGTAAATATTAAATAATATTTATTGTTTACTTTTTGTCTTTATTCTTTTATAGATAAATTTTGTTGTAGCAAGTATTAGTTTAAGGGAATTTCAGTTTTTTTTTAACTTTTTGGTTCTAGCCTATAGGGGTTATTGCCAGTTATTATTTACATGAACAACTGTCTTTTTTTAATTATTTTGCTCACATTCCTCAATTGTTTTCTTAATATTAATTATTTTGTTTAATGCTAAATTTTGAAAATAGAAAATGTTATACGAACACACGCCTTTAAGAATTAATTTGTTAAGTTTGACTTTTTTCTAAAATCTTATCTTGTGATCACTGTATTTACTATTTAAATATATTTATTTCTTAGATAAAAAAATTATAGATAAAATAATTGAGAATTATCAATTTTGTAAAATTATTTATTTTGTAACAATACCCTTATAGTATTGTTCAAAATAGTGAAACAAACTTGTTTTAAATTTAATGCAATAAAATACAGTGTACATTTGAATTTAAGACTTATTTCTTATTTGTTATTTTGAAGAATTTTAAAGTATGTTTTTACAATATCATCTAGTTGGTATTTTCAAAAAATAATAATATAATTGAAAGCACGTAAGTATTATAATCAAGAAGGATTTTATATTTTTAGAAGTAAATAAATTCAATAAAATTATGTAAATGTGAGTATTAAAAGATTAGCAAAATTAATTATTATAATATTAACATCATTGTCATTTTCCATAACCGTCTATTCTGTTAAATATTAATTAATTGTAGAGACAGCTGCCAAGGTAATCACTAACCACTAATCTGTATTATTAATATTATGTGTCCATGATGTTAATACCTTGACAATTAATTGTTTGCGTAAACTTATATCTAAAAGTAATCGTGTAGTTACAATATATATTGCATAATTATGTTTACTTTTAAAAGAACATTTATTTAATATACTTTTAGATTCTTAGCTTTAAATTTTTCAAATCTTTTTGAGCTATTTATAGGTATGAGAAATTAAAAAAAAATTCCGAAATTATTTTTCAGTAAGAAATTTCAATAAGGTTTCTTTTAATACCTGATATTTCAAATTTTAAGAGAAGATCTCACAAGTTTTTTAATCTTTAACATACAAAAAATGTTCCCTATTATAGTCATGTGATACTTTCGGTTTTTATATTCAACTATTAAATTTGATTGTATTAACAAGTGTACTTGGACGACATATTATCTTCGTCAGAATCGTTTTAAGTATGCAATGATTGATCATGGAATGCATTACATCCATTACATTGACTTGCTTGACAACTACTCTACAGCAGAGCGAAATCCACTTGTCCCAGGCCACAGTACTGGAAATAAGGACCCTGCGGCCTGCACTTTATTCGTTTTTAAATTACAATAAAATATCAAAAATTAATGGTAATTTGTCAGTTGTTACTGTTGAATATTCAATATTGTAAACATTTTAAATCCAAATATACTTAACGATAAGATTTTGAAAACACTTGCGTTTAATTGTCTATTCAATTTTTTATGTATTTATCAAAAGATAATTTTTAAATAATCTCTTACTCATCAATAATTTGCAAATTTTAGCTATTTTGATGAATTTCAGAAAAGATTCAGAAGTCAATAATGACGACAACACACGTCATAGCAAATACAATACATTCGTCCCTTATGCTCAGAATATCAACATAAATTAAATATTGAAGAGTTACCCTTTACTACTTTATTGTTTAATTGTATTCGTTAAAAAAATATGTTATTCATGTTATGTGAAATAGAAAAAATGTTTCCTATATAAATTGTCATATTCAATGCTCATAATGAGATCAAGTACTGGACTTCAGGTTATTATAATTACTAAAGGTATGATAATTTGGTAAAAATGATGGTTGAGTAAAAAATTTCCAATTTTCTATCAAACCATCCATGAGCCACGAATCACGACTTCAGACTTAAGCATATTAGTATGGTACAGAAGTCTGTCATGATAAAATAGTTAAATTTTACGGCCACAATCTATAGAGTGTAATATGTACCTACTAAATCTTATTTTTCAAGAAAGATGTTTGAAACATTTAWAAACTAATATAAATTACCTATGTGTAGAGCATGAACTAAATAATAAATATACTCTTTTTCATCGCAATACGCTCCAATTATTCGGACAATGTTATGGGTACATTATTTCCATAATCACTTTCACTACCTCCGAGTCATAATGGCCATAATAATAAGATAATATAATGAAATATTTAATATTCTGGTGGGTATACCAAGACGTGGCAAGTCGCGAGCGCCATATAATTATAGTTTAGAATAGTATAGTTCGTGCTTTAGAACAAGAAGTTGGCTAAAAGATGTTATCTTAGTCCGTGGTCGGACCATCTGGTCATCAATCGACAATTATCATAAATTCATAAATAATATATTAATATACCTACTGGCTACTGTTATATAGTAGCAGGCCCATTATGGCTGACCACTGACGTAATATATGAGACGTATTTATTATTCAAAAATTCATTATACATTCATATTTCATTTCATAGTTTCATACTCAWTATGTCGGTAATGACTAATGAACTAATGAAGTAATGAATATCCACAGCTGATATTGTGTGTAACACGCATTTTTATTTAATTTATACCTCTGGTATCAGAGCTATCTATCAATCAGTTATAATATTGTGATATTAACTATCTTAGAAACAGGATAAACCTGTGATTTAAGACCTGTTGTGCAATGTGCACCACCATAATTCGTGAAATATAATATTAGAAACGCCGAATTTTTGTTTTTTATTAGTCTTATTTATCCCAAAGTCCAATTAGTAGTTACTGATTCACTGTGTATGGCAAAAGGTTTGTATTTAGATTTATGACGAGTTTGAGTCATAACAAGTCAACATATTACTAGAAAGTATGACGCTTGAAACCACAGAGGTACGTAAAATGGATGCTACGCTAAAGTTTGAATTGGTTAATTTATTAGACATTAATGATGGCTGGAAATCACTCATGGCTGCTGTAACTGTTGACTGTGACCCAAACAAGAGTCCGAAATATACCTTTGATCACTTAAAGTAATATTGATTTTGGTGTCCATCCTATTCATTATACAATGCTTTCAACGTTTTTAAAAACAATCTCCTAATTATTCTAGGTTAATAGAAATGGCAAGCCAAACACAACGGCGATCTTGTAGTGAGATATTTTTAGAAGAATGGGGAACTAGTGGTCATATAAGGCCTAACCTCAAGACACTTATGGATCTGTTGTTCAAATTAAAACTAATACGAGCTGCTGAATGTGTAGCTTCTAAAATCATGAATGGTAACCAAGAAAATAATATGAACTTTAAACTTTGGACTTTTTAGTGAACTATATTTCTCATTTGTAAGTGCTTATTTCTAGATAAACCTATTGACAGGTTGGCAACGTTTATGGACTTTGTTGAGATTGATGAATGCACAGATAATGATAATAGTGACAATTATAAGTCTACTTTGTTCGCACATCAGCTAGAAACCAGATCAAATTTAAATGATGATGACAGTAATGCAAGGTATAAATAAAGCTTATTTAAAATAATATTTTGTATATTATATAGGTTATGAATCAATTGGTTTTTACACTTACTTAAAAATAAATAAATGCTAATTGATATTTATTTTTTAATATTTTAAAACAAGGTGTTTTTAATGGGCAACAAAGTTCATGAGGATCAGCTAGTTTAGTATAAAAAGAAATATTTAACTGTTTGTGTTTTATTGTGTTTGGTTAATTTTTTTAACTTATTAATACATTTTTTATTTTTTTGTAGGTTTGGTAAAAYTAAGCTACCTTACAAATACTTATCCAATGCCACTAATGGATTTTCGGATTCATGTTTAATTGGAGCTGGTGGATTTGGTAAAGTATTCAAAGCCAAATTGATTAACCAAATAGTGGCAATAAAACAAATGGAGAAAATATTTGAAGAAAAAGATTTTAAACAGTATTTAAATGAAATTGACATTGTTTTAAAATTTAAACATGATAATTTATTACCACTACTGGCAATTTCATACGATGAACAGCCGTGTGTTGTTTATGAATTTATGGAAAATGGTTCATTGCTTGATTGTATTGCATGCGAAGTATGTTTTTGAAGAATAATGTGAATATTATAATATATAATTTTAATATTAATTAACAATATAATTGAATAGAATAGATCATCAATATTAAATTGGAAACTAAGAATTAAAATTGGAACAGATGTGGCCAGTGGCTTAGTTTATTTACACACAGCATTTGAAACACCTTTTATACACAGAGACATTAAAACTGCTAATATACTGCTAGACAATAAATTTATTGCCAAGGCACGTATTACAATAATCTATGTATAATCATGTTGTATATTATATATTTACTTTTAGTGTTTTTAGATTGGAGACTTTGGTTTAACTCGCCTTGGAGATCATACAATGACATCTGTTGTATTAGGAACATCTGCATATATGTCACCTGAAGCATTTAGAGGTGATATTTCTACGAAGATAGATGTTTTCAGCTTTGGTGTTGTATTATTAGAGTTGTTAACAGGATTAGCACCATACAATGAATGTCGGACTGGTTGCGACTTGGTTAGAAATTAATTTTATAGTAATAAATATTTAATTTTATAACTATTTTTCTTTTCTTTTTTAGTTAACTCACATCAGTGAAATTGAATGTCCTATTGAAGAACTATTAGACAAGCGTGCTGGATATTGGAACAACAGTATCGCTAGAAAAATGTATGATTTGGCAGTTCTTTGTACGGCTGCTAAAAATCGAAGGCCATTTATGCATGGTAATGAAGGTGTTTATGAATCTCTTAAAAACATTCAATCTGAAATAGATGCATAAGCACAAATAGTGAAGGGAGTTAAGCGGTATTAACACCCTCAAATTATGTTCACATTTATGTATCTAAAACTTATCTAAAAAAAGAAAAATGAGAAAATGCGTAGCACCCTTATTTTTTTTTTTATTGAAATTGTGCCTATAAATAAATGTATACTATCTCATAATAATATAATTTGTTGTATATAAAAATTAAGTTACCATCATTATCAAAACAAAATAACATTTTTATATTTAAATATTTATTATCGTTATTTATTTTTTAATATTGCTCAGTTTAGAGTTCAAAATTAAGTTTTGTATGTAATGTATGTTTATGTGTAAAAGTTGTACATACATTTTTGTTTTTGTATTTTGAGTTACATATTTTAAGATTATAATAAAACCAAACAAAGATAACTTTTGATATATTTATTTTCTACAAAAATACATGTTTACATTATTGTAAAAAATATTGAAATTTGGTAAAACAATGGCTAGTTTTTAATTGTTTAATGCAACATACATGTGATTATGCAATTAAGTTTAAATATAAAATATTCCCTCAAACACGGTATACTTACTTTTTACATGAAAAAAAAAACTTAATATTTAGCTTTAAGTAATTTCATAAGTTTCTCCAATTTCATTGCTTTCATTAAACTTCCGCTGATCTTAAGTTTACCAGACATATAAGCGTCGGCAGCTTTTAGCTTTCCTATAAATATTTAACTGAATGATTAGAAACACAGTTCTAATTTAAATAAATAAATAAACATTACTGACCATCAAATAATTCTTCTATTTTATCAGCTTCCATTGTTAAAGTAGCATCTGGTTTTGTAGTTGGTTTACCTTTTCCAGCTGCACCATTTCCAGTTAGATCTACATAGTAAGTTCTATCCTCATCTCCTAAAAAGATATATATATATATATATATATATAGGTATTTATCATATTTACATTAATTATAATACTTCATTTACATTTGTCCCGTTTTCATGGCAGTGAGCAGGGAAATGGGTATAAAAGTAGGTWGCACGAGTATGTAAACACGTCACTCGCACTGACCATGCTCCTCGCCTTGTCGTTCCCGTCAAGAGCGACAAATTGAACAGTGCGAGCAGCAGGTTAATCAGCTACAAATGTTAGCAGGGCAATGTAAACACTCATTGTCTATGACGCTACCACTGAATGGTTGAATGTAAATGAAGTATAGAGTTTAAATGATGATAATAACTAGAAAGTCATATCATAATCATATTGTGACTTAACAAATCAATCTACTAAATATTAAGTTACATGGGACTTAATATATATTTACTATGAGTGTATTGAATAATTTAATTACCTTTTACTACAAACAAGAAACAAGCATTTGTTCCTTTAGCTATTTCTGGAGTCAAATGTGAATTGATTTTTGCGAATATACCCTCAATATTATCTTTTCCATCTGATTTTTTAGTTTGTTGAGATTTTTTCTTTCCTTGATTGAAACCGTCATGAGGAGCTTCATCCAAGAAGAAGTCCATCATTAAATCTCCTTTATAGCCTAAAAAAAAATGAAATAATTATTAGTAAATAGTATATGGATCTAATTGCAAATTGCAACAATTTGTAGATACAGATGTAAAGATTTTAAGTTATAATAGTAATAAATCTTAAAAATGTGTTTACAATAATATAATCTAACTCATTTAAAATACATATTTTTATATTCAAAGTTAAAATATTTATACCTATGAACCACATTACCATAAGTGTAATTTGGGTGATTGTCTCTCCGCCCCC